ATCTCCCTTCGGAAAGAAGAAAACACTACTTTCGAAGCAAGTAAGGGATTGGAAGAGTCCAAAACCATCCTAATCGAAGATTTGAAGAGTTTCTCTCAACTTTTCTTATTTTTCGTTTATTGTGGAGACTGTTTTAAAAATAGTCATTATCTTTTTTAGTATAAACATGAGTAGCTAAATTCCCTAGCTAGGGTGTTGATGAACCTGTTGTTGGGCAGTTTTGAGTAAATATTCCTGATCATTGATACTTATTCTATTTGTTTGGTTGTGGTTTTAATGAACTCAATTGTTTGAGCTCGCAATTGTTTATGCCCTATTTATTGTTATTCTTGGGAAAGATTGACAAGGTTGGGTCATTCAAATAACAGTACTTCGGGCTGAATTAAGGAATTACTTAACCCCATTTTTTGTTATGGGGACATATGATTCGACTGTGACCTAGAATTGGACAAGTTTGTTATCTTGATTATTTTGGAAAAAATAGTTCAAGAATGGTGTCATTAGTAGTTGGGAAACTCTAGCGAATAATTTTAGGTCCAAGGTTGATAAAATAATGTCAAATAAAGTTTCAGGATTTCACTCGGAGTTAGCCTGGAAATTGGGGAATTCTCTACCTTAGGCTTTTTTATCATCTACAATTTTCTTAAGTTATTCTCGACTTCTAGTTTAGTTTGCTGTTAGTTAGTCGAATCTAATTCATTAGTTAATATCCACAAAAACCCAAGTATATTTGTCCTTTTTGTTCAACATAGATTTAATTGAGTCAACTAGACCGTTTCATAGCTCTCAGTGGGATTTGACCCCGACTCATAATTAGGTAAATTATATTGCATATGACCGTAGCATATCTCTTATCGGGATGTGTTTTGGACGTTATCAATAAGCGACCTCAGAATCGGAATTTGAAGGTTCATGTAGGTTCGTAAGGTAATTTCGGGCTTAGGTGTATGTTCGAGTTGAGTATCGGGTAATCCGGGAGTGATTCAACATTTATTATAAAAAAATTTGCATTTCGGAAGGTTTTGAATTAGCTAAGTTTGACTTGAAGTTGACTTTAATGTTATCGGACTTTGGATGGTATTCCGGGACATTGAATAGATTCATTTAGTTTATTGGAACTTGTGTGTGAAGTTTGATCATGATCCAGAATGTCCACGGGTTATTCAAGAGCGTTCAACGAAGCATGTATGTTTGAAAGTTAAGAGAGTTTAAGAAATTGAGTTTGATCTTTAATTCTTGATTTCGATGTTGTAATTTGTGTTCCGAGCTTTTAACAAATTTACATAGGGTATATAAACTTATTAGATTGATTGGATAGGGTTTCTCGAACCTCAAGTGAGTTTTGGGGTGGTTTTCGATCACTTTTAGGCCTTTTTGAGCTGCTGATAACTAATCACAGGGGTGTGACTCGCGATCGCAGAGGCCTGGGCCGCGATCGCGAATAGCAAAGTGCATTTCAGTTTTTGTGAACCGCGATCATGGAAGATACGGTCGCGATCGTGTAGAAGAAGTTTCTATTACGAGTTGTCTGACTTTGGGAGCTTATATCTTGCAATCTTTAAGGAATTTGGAGATGATTTAGAAATGAAAGTTGTATTCTTTTGAATCTATCTTTCAGAAAATTAAACCATTTATCATTTGGAATTTTGTAATACCCATTATACCGAAGGGTGTCTATGCAGAGGAAAACATAATTTGTACATCGCGATTGTGGGGTTCTTAGCCGCGATCGCTATGAATAAAATGATGCTGGAACATTTATTAATTGCGGTCACGAAGAAGGAGGACTGGCAGTTATATTAAATATTTAATTTCCAGATTTAGAGATTATTTCTTCACTTTTTAGTTCTTGGAGCACAAGTAGGCGATTTGGGGTGATTCTTGAAGACTATTTTCGCCATCTATTATAAGGTAATTTATTCCTATTTGTTGTGAGTTAAATACATGGATTACATATGGATTTAAAAATGGAAATTGGTGGAATTATGGGATTTTGGAAGAAAATCTAGAAGTGGTATTTTTTGAGTTTTGACCACGAAATTGGACATGAAATTTGAAATAAATTATATATTTGAGTTCATAGTGCTATGGGTAATATTTATCTTCGAGAATATTCAAAATCCAGGCACGGAGGGCCGGGGGTTAACTTTGTTGACTTTTCATGTTGAGTTGGAAATTATTTCTAATTGTTAATTACGAGTCTTTGAGTATATTTTGATTGGTTTGTACGCTCTTTTGACTAGTTTCGGATCGTTTGGCTTCGGTTTGAGGTGTTTGAGAGGCAATGGAGTCTTCGGAGCGAGGTAAGCCTCCTATCCAACCCTGTAATAGAAAATTTACTCCATATGTACTATAATTGTTATGTGCTACGTGTTATGGGAGCTACACACGTATGAGGTGACGAGTATCCATGCGTATGCTAGATTCTTGATCATGTCTGGATAGACTTAGACTCACACCATGTTTTAACTGTATTACTTGAGTTATCCTTGCCTGTTTAAATGACTTAAGTTACATTTTAGCCTGATACTAGACTTGCATAGAATATCAAACCTTACTATTTTAGATACTTGATGAGCTAAATTATTAGTCATGAAAATTTTACTTTCTTTTACAGATTTCTCCCGCATTGTGCGTAATTGTCCGAAAGATTCTTGAATTTCATAACTCACATGTATATTCGTGAGTAGGATCACTGACCCATCAAGCTTCACTACTCTTATGGGATAGAGTCATTCGCCTCAGCAGTAGCATATAGCATAATCTTATAGGACCAGGTCATTCGCCTCGGTAGTATCATGAGATGCGTCTATGGATCGGGTCGTACTACCTCGGTAGTGTACACTATTCTTATGGGGATCAGGGCGTACGCCACTGTAAGATATTGTACCATCAATCTTATTGGATTGGGTCGTTCTCCTCGGTAGAATCGTGCGTAATATTTGATAAGGAGTCAGCGTATCTATGAATCTGTCCGACTTGAGACGTGATATTTCATTGGTTATTGAACTTACATATATTCCATTCGAGGTAGTATTCGATATTCGAGGGTTTATGTATTTACTCTTCTATTAAGGATCATGTCATGTACATATATCTGTTTTCACTGTTTTTACTTGTCATGCTTCATACCTGTATACCTTTATTGTACTTTAATTATTGGGCCACTAGTAAGTGTCGATGTCGATCTCTCGTTACTATTTCTTCGAGGTTAGACTTGATGCTTACTGGGTACGCGTTGATTTACGTACTCATTCTACACTCATGTATTTATTGTGCAGGTATTGAGACAGGTACCTTTGGTGGTCATACTAGCACGTAGGCGCAGTTGTTGAGGAAACTTTGGGGTGAGCTGCTCTCTATGTTACGATCCGCAACACACAGAGTTCTCTTCCAATTCATTTATTGTATTCTATCTATTTTATATTCCAGACAATTATTATTATAGTATTGTATATTCTGGTAGATGCTCATGCACTTGTGATTTCGAGTTTTGGGGATTTAGATTTTATTCTTGGTTGCATTTTTGTATGATATTAGGATTTATGTTTCAGCTACGTTTGATCATGTAAGATAATATCAGTATTTTTCTATGAAAATGAAATGATTCCGCTTATTTATTTCATTATTCGTTTCAAGATGCGAAATGAACTATCTATCTCGAGTTGATTTAATTGTTGGCTTGCTAACAATAATATTGGGTGTCATCATGGCCTATGGTAGAAAATGAGTCTAAAAACTGAAAGTAAAATATTTTTGCTGCAATAGTTTTGCATGCTATAACATATGACTAAAGTGCATCCATTTTTATTTACGCTTCAGATACACATTAAGTGCATGCAAAAATGACTGCACTTAAGACATACATGACTGAAGTGCATATAAAAAATTGCATGAACTTCAGTCATCTGTATTTGAAGTACCAATGTTCAGCTTAATTTTTTTTGCCCGAAAATAAAAATTTATTATTTAAATTTTAACAATTCAACATACGATTCAACGCCCAAATATATTCCAAATCATAAGTTAAAATATCATAAAAAATAAACCTCAATTATCAAATTTCCTAAATAACAATAAATCTAACAAATTTATTTTTTTCAACAATTATAATTTGCTAATGTTTTCAAGCTTTTAAATAATATCCATTTGATTTAAAACTTACTTTTCATATTAGAAATGCAAGACCCATCTCTTTAAAGCATGATATGTCGATTGCTATAAATTACGAAATACTATTGTACAACAACTAAGAAGAAGAAAGAAAGAAGAAAACACAGAGAAGAAGCAATTATCTAAAGTTACCTAATATTGAGTACCAGTTAATTTTAAAAAAATTAACTGGGACCAAAAGTAAAAAACAAAAAAAGTGCATTTTTTGGGAAATACTACTGTATAAGCACTCTTAAAATAATTGTCTACATATATAGACACACACTCTCTCTCTCTCTTAATTCATATATTTTTACAGCTGTTAAATGTAAATAGTTTCGACTGCGAGCTAAAAAGGGGAGAAATTAAAAAGTAGCCAGATTTACAAGTGGTCATTCAAAAATAGTCACTGTTTCAAAAGTCATCGAAATTTAGCCACTTTTCATGTAAAGATAAATCTGAATGAAAATACTGTTCAAAATCCGGAAAATACTCCAGTATATTTATACTGGAGTTCCAACAAAGTATACTCGAACTCCAGTATATTATACTGGAGTTTGGAGTTCCAGTATACTTTGCTGGAACTCCAGTATAATTCAACATAATATGTTGGAAGTTCATACACAGGTGCACCGAACTCCAGTATATTATACTGGAACGGTCTTTGTTGCAGTAAAATAATAGCTATTTTTCAATGACTTGACAAACACTGATTATTTTTGAACGACCAGTCCGAAAATTGGCTAGTCCATGCTATTTTAACGCTAAAAAAGTGATCTTTGCCCGAATCTTTTACCAAACCAAGTCCCGCTAGCCCAGACCGACTCTGTCCGTCCACAGGCCCAAAAATCAGTCCAAAGAACCCTGAAACCCAAGCCAACCCGCAGCCCCCCAGCTCCAAACCCTAAAAAGAATCTAGGGTTTTTCAATTCTTTCCCTACCCTCTCAAGATTCTTATAAAGTGTACATTGTTGACTTGAACTCTGATCATCCATGCACAAATCTTAAGCTGGTTCTTTTGATTTTCTTGGAAAGAATTGAACTTTTTTTAAGGTACTCATTTCGCTATTATTGAAAGTGAAAACAAAGATCAGGCTCAGGTTTGCTGATTTTGCATTGCTATTATTGTGTTTGCTTAATCTGTTTAAGCAAAAAAACTATTATCTGGTTTCTTGATTGACCGTACATTGTTTTATAAATATACATTTTTTTGGTTGCCATTGATATATTAGTAATTCGTGTCTTCAGCCCTGACTCATTGATTTTCTCTGGACTGTTGTTTAACAATCTTTGTGTTAATTATTTATGGTGTTCTGGTATTTCATAAGTATATCTAATAAAAATTGAATCTTTATTTTCTTTTAGAGAGGAGAAGAGTAGAATTGGATTCAGTTTAAAGAATTGATATTAGAAAAAGGGAAGATGAGTTATTCTGATCCACCACCTCCTCCCCCGCCCTTTATGCCAATGCCATTTGCTGGCGGTGATATTGGAGAAGCTTGGCCACAATCTCCAATGAACCATGAATTTCCCGAGTCCTATTCTCAGTTTGATCATGTACCTCCTTTCAAGAGACTGAGGAATTCCGATAACAATTCACCGAATTCTGCAAATTATACTCCTATGAATTCCAGAGTGAACCAGCTGAATCTTATTGGAAACAAAGGAACGAGCCATATATTTTTCAAAACACGCATGTGCGCCAAGTTCTTGGAAGGAACTTGCAGGAATGGGGAACATTGTACATTTGCTCATGGTGTTGAAGATTTGCGTGAGCCCCCTCCGAATTGGCAGGAACTAGTACGTGAAAAGGATAGAGGGGTAGTAGGGAACTGGAATGATGATCAGAAAATAATACATAGGATGAAAATTTGCAAGAAGTTTTATAACGGAGAGGAGTGTCCTTATGGTGATAAGTGTAATTTTCTTCATGAACGTCCTCCGAAATTTAAGACTGACATTCCAAGGCAAAGGGAAAGCTCTGCAATAAGCATCGGAACAACGGCTAACAGAAGTGATCTTGAGCAGAATGAGATTAGTAAGCATGGAATTGCAGATTCAGATGCTGTTCGAATTAAGCCTGTATATTGGAAGACAAAGATGTGTAGTAAGTGGGAGACAACTGGTCAATGCCCCTTCCGAGATCGTTGCCACTTTGCTCATGGTCAATCAGGTAAAACTAATTTGACAGTCATCTTTTTGTTAGTTGTTAGTTTGACTTTATGTTTAATCGTTTGTAAATCAATTGTCTATTTTACTTGCTTTAATTTTTGCAAAATTCCTTCATCCCTTTATTGTAAAAAGTAAAGGCCGCATAATGTAATAGAATATAGTTTAAAGACAGAATAATTACGAGCGATGGAGCTCCTAGAAACAATGCTTGCTGATCCTAAGCAAGTTATTTAGCGTAGTAGAGCTGCAGTGGTTCAAGTTGAGAATCTAGTATAAAATTAAATACTTTTTTATTTTTATTTTTTCCGTATTTTTTCTCAGGGAAAAGTTTCCAAGTTCTTCATTGCGGAAAAGGACAAATAAAGCAGTTTGTATTCATATGATTTGCCTTTTGTATAACACCTGCATTGCAGAGAAGAACAGACTCTATCAAAAATCGTTTCGTAACCTAATAATTAATAGTATTCCACACGTGTCTTCTTTCCACTTAAATATGAAAAACTTGACATTAACTCACATTTAGATTACATCCATATATAAAACGAGGAATTTGTCGTGTTGCCATGTCCGTTGAGTGATGTTTTGCATATTCACTGCCATTGATTGTTCTCAGATTATGACTACTCTATTTCCTGTGACGATACATTCGATATGCAATTTCTCTACTAGGTCATATCTCACTTTTGAAACAAGTAACAATATATTCAGCTTTCAAGGTCTAGTCTGCCTCCTGGTTTTTATAGGTCTAACAATGAACTAACTTGGTCATTACCACTTTTTACTAAACATGGAGATACTGAATTTGTGAATGGTGGGTTTTATGTGATACGCTTTTATAAATCTAAAATTGACTTTCTATCGCTAAAATGGTGTGTGAACTTCTTTGTTCTCCGTCAACCTTTCCAGGAAAAGCCTTCCATTTTCCTTTGTTATCGCTTACTTGAAGTTTAGAAGTTGCTTTCGGAAGGGCTTTTCTCCATCGGTTGTCTGATGTTGGCTATTTCTTTGACAGAGTTACAGGCACCTAGTGGTCCGGACTTGTTGACGAATCCTGTCCCCATTATGCCAAGGCCCTTCTCTGTTCCACTTGTTGAGTTATCCTCTGCAAATGCAGCGGTGAATGCTTCGATACAAGAAGAAAAAGAGGATAAGAAAATCTTAAAATGGAAATTGACCAAGAAGATCTATCGGATATATGCAGATTGGATTGACGATCTAGTCCCGCCCCACCTCTTAGCTAGTAAAGCCGAGAGCTGATTTTCCTGGTTAAGGTTTATTATCTCCTTTCAACGAGGATAAAAGAATACGAGGGAGATGGAAATTTTGTTAGCGTGTTCTATAGTTTTCAATTTTTCATATTTTGTGTCAAAAATTGGCTAGAAATTTTGGAATTGCATATTTGTTTGTTATAGAAGAATCCAAGTAAGGTAATATCTTGGGGAATTCCCTAGTGAAAGAGAGTGGAAGCATATTAATTTTATAGTTTTTTTTTTCCTGAGCATTTTGGTTTAGTTCAAGTCTTCTGAGAAGCGCCAGCATATGAAAATGCTCATTTTTGTTTGCCTTCATTGTATTTCCAAGCCCAATTTCTCTTTTTGATATCTCCAGATGTTTATGGGACGCTTGCTCAACTAAATATTATGAGAAAACAAAATTTTGGGGGGAGTACACATAGCCCTATTAAGGGATTAGTCCGTACTTATTTTGTCTTGAAAATTTGAACTAAAAATCTTAATTTCAAGATAATTCTGGACATTTGTGTCCCGAAAATTTGAATGGAAAAACTTAAGTTTAGGACACATAGCTAATTCCTAAATAGCAACCCTTTAGAGCGGGTACCTAGTGTGATTTCTACAAAAACTTTGGTTCCTTGATAACTTCTAGTTCTAGTTTGATCAGGAAAGTAGAAAAAATGAATCTGCTAATGAAGGTTACAAGATTCGGTCAAGAGGAAGAAATTAATAATATGGTAACCGCTCATTGTTATTTTGGCCGGTTGATCTTCCATTATAATGCCAGTTTCAACAACTGACGTGAATTCATATTGCAACTTTTGGATGAAAGGAAAAAGATGTAATTTTACATGGCATATTAACAGTGTGAATTTGCTACAAATTTAACACTTTATTCACATCAGGAGACCAAAATCCAAAAGTTATGGTGTCAAAATTCAATCACAACCAGACGTTTTAGCAAGTGTAATGTTGAAAGAATTGTGTTATAACAATAACATAAAAGATTAATTTACCAAAAGAGACTTATAGATGTCCAAACAAGAAAAAGAAGAGCTTTTAAGTTAAGCATTTAGAATTCAAAAGTAGAAGGAACAAGAAAGAATAAGACGCTTTATGGACTCAACCAATGCCCAATGGAGTAGGAGTTTCGAAAATAAGGTGAAAGAATTTTTTATAAAAATCTTTTTCAAGTTTTGAATATGGAATGGAACAGAAAAAGTATTTTAATTTCCTGCACAGTACTTCAGGTTTTTTTTTTTTTTGGCTGGTTTGCTATCTCCATTTTTTCCAATTTTTAATAGCTATAGTATATAATTGGGTGAGAAGAGAAAAGTGGAAGGAGACTGCTTTTGAAGTTAGACAAGTTGTGTACGATAATTCTCAGCCGTGGCCTGGTACTGTTCTTAGAAACAGATTTGTGGTACCTGTATTCTGTTCTCTTCCATTCCTTTGGTACTTTTTATTTTATATAATCTTGTACCACCTCGCTTTTTTATGATGCAATGAACTATGGAATTAGTGTTTTCAAAGAATGAAAAACGCAACTAAAGCGATGATGGGAGCAAACCCTGTTGTTTGTAAAAGAAAGAAAAGAGAAGACAAAATAAAAGTGGAGAAGTCAAAGAAAGAAATAAATGAAAAGAAAAAAAAAAGGATGCGTGAAAAAACAAAGAAAGAAAGGAAGCCAGAATGAAACGACTGCAAAATGTGAATGAATTAAATTGGTTTACAATCGCGGTGCGGGCCGGCCGCATGTTCACATTTTGCTGAAGATTTCAGTTGATTCATTTGCCTATAAATAGACATTCTCCTCTTCAGTTGTATTCTTCCCTCAACTTCTTTCTCTCTCAATATCAATAAGAGCTACTCTTTGTGTGGCTATGGAGAGGCAAAAATTGTCGAACCACGTAAATCTTGCCTTGTCTAGTCTTGTGCAATTTATTGCTTTTCTCTTTTAATTATCTTTCCCTTCTATTAACCTGATTCGCTTCCCAACAACTGGTATCAGAGCACAGACAATATAATTCTGGTAGAAAAGTATGGTATTGGTGCAAGTACTATTCACAAGAATAGTGCGACATTATTGATCATCGATACCAACACTATTCACAATAGTGAAGTACTATTCATTAACAGTGATAGTATAGTTCACCAATAGTGATTGTTGTCTACCTTATACATTTGAGACATTTTTCTTTCACAGAGAGTATTTGCGGTTGTTATTCACAAGCACTATTTACATAAATTATTTTTTTGTGAAAAATGGCATCGGAAGAAGGGAATGTTAAGATTGATAAGTTCAATGGCAAAGATTTTGGATTCTGAAAAATACAAATAGAGGATTATTTGTACTAGAAAAAATTACACTTATCTCTGACTGAGGGCAAAACCAGAGAATATAGCCAAAGCTGATTGGGATCTATTAGATCGACAAGCTCTTGGTGTGATTCGTTTGACGCTAACACGAAATGTAACATTTAATATCATAATGAGAAGACCACTGCCAGCTTGATGAAAGGCGTTATCAAATATGTACAAGAAGCCATCTACTTCATATAAAGTCTATTTGATGCGTCGATTGTTCAACATAAAGATGACAGAAGGTGGATATGTTACGAAAAATATCAATGAGTTTAATGTAATACTCCATCCGTTCCAATTTATGTGAACCTGTTTGACTGAGCACGAAATTTAAGAAAAAATGAAGACTTTTGGAATTTGTGATCATAAACAAGTTAAAAAGGGCCCCATAGTATTTGTGTGGTTAATAAAGCTTCTCATTAAGGGTAGAATTGGAAGTTTAAGCTAAATTATTTTCAAATTTAGAAAGGGGTCATTCTTTTTGGAACGGACCAAAAAGGAAATAGGTTCACATAAACTGGAGTGGAGGGAGTATTAGCAGTTGAGTTCTGTTAATATAATATTTGATGACGAAGCTAGGGCGTTGATTCTACTATCATCTCTACCGGAGAGTTGGTCTGCAACAGTAACTTCAGTTAGCAGTTCATCGGGAAGTATCAAACTCAAATTGGATGATATTAGAGACTTGGTTCTAAGTTAAGATATTCGCCGAGAAAATCAAGTAATTCCCTAGGATCTGCTTTTAATACCGAAAGCAGAGGGAGAAGCAGTCAAAGAAGACAAAGTCATGGTCGTGGTAGATCAAAGTCAAAGAGAAGAGGGCAATCCGAAAATTGCAAAGACATTACGTGTTGGAATTGCAATAAAAAGAGTCACTACAGTAGTCAGTGTAGAGATCTAAAGAAGAAGAAGGATGAAAATTCAGCAAATTTAATTATTGAACAAGTCGGTGATGCACTAATTTGTTGTGCAGACGGTCTAGTTGAATCTTGAATTCTGGACTTAAGTGCATCCTTTCACTGTACCTCATGCAAAGAATTATTGCATAATCATGTAGCTGGAAAATTCGGGAAGGTTTATCTAGCAGACGGGGAACCTTTGGATATTTGTCGGAAAAGGTGAAGTTCATATAAATACTTCACAAGGGACACTACGAAAATTGCAAAATGCCTGACATGTTCCCGGCCTCAAGAAAAATCTGATACCCATGGGTCAGATTGATAGTGAAGGATACACAACAGTATTCGGTAATGGATCGTGGAAGATAATCAAAGAAAATTTGATTGTGGCACTAGGCTTCAAGAAGGGAACACTGTATGCAACCGAAATATAGAGAGATATTATAGCACTAGTTGACCATGGTCGTGACACAATATTGTAACACCGGCGGCTCGGGCATATGAGTAAAAAAGTGTCGGCATCCAAAGAAAAGTTCTCAAACCTCAAGCATGTTGAATTAGATTTGTGCGAAGATTGCATTTACGGGAAACAAAAGAGAGTTAGTTTCTCAAAGGGGGAAAGGACGCCAAAGAAAGAGAAACTGAAACTAGTGCATACAGCTATGTGTGAGGACCAGCTCTTGTAACTTCTCTGGAAGGCTTACGCTATTATGTCACCTTCATTGATGATTCCACGATAAAGGTACGAGTTTATTTTCTGAAAAATAAATCTGACATGTTTGTTCCATTTAAAAGATGGAAAGCTAAAGTTGAAAATTAGACGAGCCTAAAGTTAAAATGTTTGAAATCTGACAATAGAGGAGAGTATCATAGTCAAGAGTTCAAAGCATTCTACTCAGAGAATGGGATCAGAATGATCAAGATAGTTGCTAGAATACCGGAATAAAATGGCGTTGTTGAGAGGATGAGTGGAACCCTGAATTAACGAGCCAGAAGTATGAGAATACATTCTGGATTGCCGAAATATTTTTGGGCCGAGGCGTTTCACACAGCAACTTACCTCATAAACAGGGGACCCCTCTACACCGCTGAATTTTGAAATTCCTGAGGAGGTATGGACAGGAAATGAGGTAACTCTCTCACATCTAAAACTCTTCGGTTGTGTTTATTATGTGCATGTGAACTCCAATGATAGAGATAAGCTTGATCCTAAAGTCAAGAAATATTTCTTTATTGGCTATGGTGATGATAATTTTGATTATCGATAGAAATAAATTCTGTATTCCGAGGCCTTAAAAATCTCTTTCTGCCTCACCTCGATTTACGTGCACAGTCCGGGCGCGTATTTGGAAAGCCATTATGTCAAAATCTATAAAAATGATAAATTTTGCTTTTAAAATGAATTTAAGTTGACTTCGGTCAACATTTTGAGTAAACGGACCCAGACCCGTGATTTGACGGTCTTGGAGGGTCTGTAGGAAAATATGGGACTTGGGCGTATGCACGGAATCAAATTCCGAGGTCCTAAACCCAAGAAATAAATTTTTAAAGAAAATTATTTTCTGGAATATATATGAGTTTTTGGAAATGAAATATGTTTGAATTTGATGATATTGGGCCCGTATTTTGGTTCCGGAGCCCGGTAGAGGTCTTATATGTGATTTAAGTTGATCCTGTAAAATTTGGTAAGAAACGGAGGTCATATGACGTGCTTCGGAACCTTAGTTGGAAAATTGGAAACTTTTAAAGTTCTTGAGATTTTCTTTGATTTTGATGCTAAATTCATAGTTGTTGATGTTATTTTGATGATTTGATTGCACGAGCAAGTCCGTATGATGTTTTTAAGTTAGTTTGCATGTTTGGTTTGGAGCCCCGAGGGCTCGGGTGAGTTTTGGATAGGCCACAGAGTGAAATTTGGACTAAGGAAATTGCTGGTGTGTTGCAGGCCTGCAGGCTTCGCATGGCTCGCAAATGCGAACTATGGCCTGGGCTGCCTTGGTCGCAAATGCGATGTATTTATCGCAAATGCGATAGCAGCTTCGCAAATGCGACAGCAGCTTCGCAAATGCGAAG